CCCCCCCCCCCGGGCCACCACTGTCCTTGATGACATGAACCGTAATCCGTACTCGACGAAATCTCACTCGTGGTTTGCCGTTAAACACAGTGCTTCCTCGGTTATCCAACTCAGGGATTAGAAAACCATTGCTAACGAAAAAATAAACTAATGGCTAATACGTACTTCTTCTCTGTCATTTTTCAATGTGTTTAGTACAGGTGAGATTTTGTTTTCCTTTGGTCCGCAGCTTATTCAGAACAAACAGAATATCGGATTGTTGTCCCGATCCAGTCAGGATGCAACCACTACATCTTCAGACGACATACCCACAGACCCAGGAGAATCTACGCAACAGTTCGCGGATGTCACGGACATATGTGACTCGATCAAAACGCAGTTGATGTTTCTCATCGAGTGGGCTAAGAATCTACCTAGCTTCGGCACCCTTAAAATGAATGATCAAGTGAGTCAAAACTGAATATAAACATAAAGATGGTGGTTTGAAGACATCATAAAGCAGTCTTACTAAACACATTTTACCGAATAAAATTAACCGTCAAGAATCATAGACAACTCAGTCCTGATTCTAGTGGTGCAACCTGTGGGTTACACGGATGACGTATGTAATGAAATAGTAACTTGAGATAGATGTTTGATATCTCCTTAAAAGTCGACATGTGTGATGACTGTGACAAATAAACGTCCATTCGGAGACTAGATTTTGAATCATGAAGATTTAGAATACAGTGATGTCAATCGAGGTCATTCTTGATTAACCAAACAAAGAACATATATATTGGTAGTCGATCAATACGATCCCTAAAAGCTTGTGCGCTTTGGGCATCCAATACCTACCATGCAAGCTGATTTCGTGTATTTACCGTGCTGTATACAACGGATTGTGTAATGAAGCTCCAGATTGTTCAGCTTGTTTTCTTACCCTTTCAATGTCGTATTTTCGTTGAGGTTTTAATAGAATTGTCTCTAGTTCTGAGGAGCATTGTGTATCAGACTATTACGCACAAGTTTGTGGTATGTCGCAGATACACAAACAGATTGGAACAGATACACAATATGATTCCCGGATCTTCAGGTCATGTTTGCAATCCCCTGTATACGACGAATCACCTTCTAAAGGAGCTCCGAGTTACTAAAGACCGAGGCATGACACCTAGAGGCTAATGTTTCCAAGACTGATGAGTATACACCCATGACGGATTGTGCTACGTTGTGTAGGAACAAGGGCGAAACAGTCACCAAATCACATGAGTACTGCATTTGTGTTCTGTTTGTCAAATCCAAAAATCTACCCCAAATTCTACAGTTCCGTATTACCCGATAGGACTATAATAGTAGTAAAGTACATCCCAGTTTTCCTGTTCAAGTTTCCTTCTCGCCTTATAATGACCGAAGTCAAGAGACATGCTATTCACTGGCTAGTCTGTTTGGCACCTGGGATTTCTAATTAACGTGACAACTGTGTTCCAACTACGAATCAATGGTTCGGTTCTATAATTTTATTTTCGTTCATGACCAATAACGTAATAAAATCTACAATGGTTATTGCTGTCCAAGGGGCATTCAAAATAAAAAATCAACTAATCATTGATTACCAAGCTCATCATCCACTGATATTTCATTCAAAGCCATATACAGGAACATATCGAATTGTAAAAATAACCAAAACTAATGATTATTCATACATACATTCATCTGACATTTCAGGTTGCACTGCTCCAATCACATGCTGGGGAAATGCTGATTTTGGGTGCAGTTTGGCGATCTCTGTCCAAGACCAACTATTCCCGCATTTACAGTGAAGAAGCGAGAACCAGTAATCCGATTACTACAGCTACTCCAGGAAGTCGAGCTGTCGAATGCTCTGGTCTCCAATCGAAACCTCGGAGGAAGTCCAGTTCGATACACTCGTCACAGCACACGCAGCTCCAAAATACAATGGGTTGGTCATCTCTCCCAGAGACTGAAATACGTCCCCATTCCTCCAGTTCGCACACGTCCGAGTCATCTCAGAACTCACCGTCACTGGCACAGTCGCAGCCACCGCAAGCAGCACTGTCGGTATCTTCGTCTCTCACAGGACAACAACAACAATCCGTGATAACTCAAATGAGTTCCACGCCTAATCCGATGGTACTGGAACCGGAGACGATGAAGGCCACAGGGTTGATGGCCCCGGATCCCGGCTTCGAACATCAGCCGCAATTGATTCTTCTGGGCAACAGTCGAATCATTTCAAGACATAGTCCGCAACAGGAGATAGCTGATATTGCCAACCAAATACTGGATCAGCTTTATCAACCAATGTTGGAATTATGTCTAGAGGATGCCGAAATCGCCTGTTTGCGAGCAATTATCTTTTTTGATCCAAGTTAGTAGTTATTCATTAGGGGCTACGTGGTGCACCGCTTTCATGTGTTCGACTCAGAACAATCTGGAAAGACTATTTATTTAGACCAAGTTACAATCATTCTATTATTTTATTTAATAAATTAGACTGAGATTTTTGCTAAACAAATGGATGTTCCATTAAAACGACATTTATTGGCAACCAGTAAGCACGACCGTTTCAGCCTCGCCTAGTACCCCGGAGAAAATACTGTGTGAAGGCCTGAACTTATATTAACCTGATCCATATGGATTGAACGTTGGACCAACTGACTAACTGATCCACCCCGGAACTGCATCAAGATGAACATCAGGCACGGTTCATATGACAACACATTTATGATGCAACTGTTGGGCCTAGTTTCAACCGTTGCGATGCGGAGCCACTGACTGCTCGACTGATAGCGAATCATATTTTGTCGCAGGTTGCGTAAGGTTAACGTCGACTCCTCTCATCTACAGTGCATGGTGTTAGACTTCTGTAGTACTCCTCTACCACTAAAGCCTACCACGATGGGGTGGATTACTGTGCAATTGTGGGTAACTCAGTCACTGAGTGGATATTAGTACGGTGTCTATGGCCCTAGTCGTTTTAGTTGTGCATCGCAGAATCTAAAACTGACTATTTTCTTTACCAAAAGATGACGCAAAGAAGCTCGAGTATTATTACTATTGTTATTATCCAGTAAATGACTATTGAGTGAATAAAATATAACACATATTCCAATTGATAACAGGTAAATAAAATGACCCTGAGCAACTGGTTAGTTCACGATGAATCAGTCCAGAAAATCCAACCGAAAGGTGAGTATGTAAGGATGAGGTAGACCGTGCACCTAGTGTTTTGTTAGAGAATGGGAGGTGCGGTTGCACCTAGAACGGATCCTCAACAGGCAACAGCATCACATGCTTCTGGGCGTGAAGATTGATGCGTTGAATTGAGGTGATTCTCAAATCCAGTTCGGACGTGTTGAGAGCGATGCGTGGCAGAACAAAAGAACCTACGGAATGTATGAAAAGATGAAACGCATGTAGGATAGTGCATTCCCAAATCGGTTGACTCACATGCTGATTAAATGTTTTGTTTTTTGCCTGTCCAAACTAACTGCACGGCCCAGACTGTTGAACTTCCGTGAAAATCAAACATGGATAACTGTCTGTTTCCACACACCCGTTCACACACACACACACACACACACACACACACACACACACACACACTGCTTTCTCTTCC